TTTTTTTTTTTCAATTAGTCACTCCATCTTTATAGGAAAAATAAAAAATCTCACAGAGAATTTCAATAAATAGAAACTTCAGAATTTTTTTTTCTTTCAACCAATGCGGCCTCAAAGGGCTTACAATATTTTATATAGCGAAAACCCTAAGAAAATTCGAAAAATTACATAATAATCAATAATTTTTTTTCCAAAAATGGAAAAAATCCAGATAATGACGGAATTTGAAAATCTTAATCATCATAATCGTCCCACCAACAAACGAAATTCAAATATGAATTTATTTGATTATCAATATGCTACAAACAAAAAAGGAAAAAAACGTTTTGAATGTCTAAACGAAGGAATTTGGCCCAAATGGGCCCTACATCAGGGGAAAAGCCATTATGTCTTGTTCATTGGCCGTTTCCATTCAAATTTGACTAAAAGTTCGCAAAAAAGGGACAATACCAATATTTCTCCAAAAATCGAGAAGTTGCTTATTTCTATTTGCGCAGGTCCCACTTTGATATAAAATTCTAATTCCTTCTTCACCACATCAAGAATTATTCGTTTCCCTTACATCTTTTTTATTTTTAGAATGCAAAGGAAATAATAATGTAAATACAAAGAAAATACTAATGTCATTTTTTAAAAAATACGATGACCGTATTTTGAATATGTACCGAGTTATAATTATTCAATGAAAACATAGGTTGAAAACTTGATATTTACTTGTTGTAAATTATTTATTAAATATTGAAGACCATTGTATCTTTGCAGCCTAAGTTACTATGATTATTGTATCATTTACATCTCTAATTCTTCTCTATAAATATAGGGCTTTAGTTCTCAATAAAATACATATGTGACTTTTCTTCTATATTCCCCCCTCTCTTTTTTTCCTCTAATTTATAACACGTTATTAGCATGATAGTTTAATTATTTTTTCAATATCAAAGTTTGGTATTCTATAGGAAGAAAAGAAAATGACGGTATACCTCGATTCATTATAGTCCCTTCTGTGATACGCCAACCTCCCCATGAATTGTTTGGTCCTAAACAAGTCATAAAAGGTATAGCAAACATATCTTGTCTCTACATTGGATCAAAAACCGGGTTAGTAGGATAAAAAATTGTTAATTTATACGGGGTCATTGAACCTGCCCAATTAGCTACCAGAGCTTTGTGCATTATATGAACGAAAAATAGATTACTTGATTTTGGTCTTACTACATGTACATAAAAGTATACATAAGGAATTATATAATATCACGTGGCATTCTATCATTTGTCAATTTAAAATACAGTGAATTTTTTCATCTAATCTTTTCACTCCACATTATTTTATGTAATCCCTCGTACCATTTTTATGTATAACTTGTATAATAAATTTTTTTTACATACATATGCTCAAATGTCAAAATAGAACCAAATTCTGCTTCTGCCAACTTTTCGTAGGGGGTGTTAACGAGTCGCTGCCGAAAATTGAGGCTTGGGCCAAGCTCGAGTAAAAATTGTTCGAGTTTTTTTTAGCCTGAGTCGACCCGAGCTTTTGCTTGGTAAAAAAATTAGGCTCGGGCCTTGTCGAGCATAGCCGGCTCACGAAATTTTCTTTTCCTTCTAAGCAAGCCTGCAGCTTGCCTGGTTGTTTTTTTTTTTTTTAAATTTTTTTTAAGCTGCTGTCTGCAAAGGCAGCGTGTAGATGCCTGCTATTTTTTTTAAAAAATAAAATATGTTTCTCGTAGAGGTTTTTTTTAAAGATCAGACTCATCATAGGCCAAAAATAGCCCGTGACACGAACCAACTCATGTAGCTTGCTGAGTTGGGCCGATATAGACTTTTTCGGGTCGAACCACGAGTCGCCATCCGGCGAATAAAATTGACACCCTTAGCTTTTCGTTTCAAAATTCATGCGTGCGATTTGGTGACATAATTTTTTAAAATAGATCTTTGCTGCCCAATTTTCTTTTTCGTAATTGTGTATATTAACCAGGCTGAATGATCTATGTTAGGAATTAAACATCAATATTCAGACACCAAAGTCACAGTCAAACATGCTCGAGAACATTAACAGAGTTCATAACATGCTCCAACACATAA